TTTTTTTTTTTTTTTTTTTTTTTTTAAAGTTAGTCAATGACGGCCGTGAGATATATCATACAACTGACCGGCGCTGGGTAATTCAGACTTGTACCATTTTTTACTCCTCTGCTTCCAGTGGAGTTTGGACTCAGGGCCGGTCGGTTGTATGATATCTCAAGGCCGTCGCCGTTTTTAAAAAAATAGAAAAAAAAAATAGTAGAGGAGTAAAAAATAGTACAAGTCTGTGTTTGATTTTTTCATCAGTTCAGTTCAGGGGTGTACTAACGGAGCAAGGCCAGTTAGTGCAGAATCTGGTTTTGGTGCAGAAAAGGTCTTTTATTTAACTGCGAAAGTTAAATAAAAGAGCGACGGCCTTCTTGATTGGAATGCTGAGCATCATTCATACGTGTACGTAAATAAAAGAGCCACAGTTAAATAAAAAAGAGCGAAGGCCTCTTGTTCTGTGCACAATTTATTTTCTTGTCGTCTGTTTTCCCTTTTTTCTTGTCGGCTTGTGATGGGTTGATGAGCATGATCAACTGTGTTGAAGCTTGTCCTTTTTTTTTTTTTTCCCTTCTTTCTATTCTTTTCCCGTTGTTTTCTTCTTCTGCTAGGACTTTTTTTTTTTTAACTTACCTAAGAAGCTTGTTACAATTCTAATCTATATTCCTTCATCCCCCTCCCCCGTGCACATCCCCACCCCCCCCCCCCCCCGGGCCGCCTTCCTGTTCAATAGTGAGCACTTAGTTTAGGCAAGAGGAGTTGCTGCTAATTGAGCCAAAGTTCTTTTTTTTTTAATATATGAATCGAGCCAAAGTTCTTTGTTTTCTTTTTCCTCATTTTTTCCGCTCTCAACACCGAGCGCTTCATGGATGCCAGAGGGGTTGAATTCTGAACTTCCGCCAACAAGAGGGAAAAGTGCACCAATGAACTAGTTGGCTAGTTGGCTATTTGGCTATTTGCCTATGTGGCTAGTTGGCCAATGGAACTAACACATTGTCTAGTTGGCCATTTACAAAGAAGAAAAAGAAGAAGAACTGAAGAAGAATCGAAGGAGAAGAAGAAGAAGAGGAAGAAGAAGGAGAAAAAGAAGCAATGGCTGACATTTGCTTAGGAACACGAAGTATGCGATTGCAAAAAGATCAACGGGTTCTTTTAACAAGGAAATAGAAGACCAAATTAGCATGCAAGCTTGCCTTTTTCCTCGACAGGGAAAGATATAGGATAGCGAGTTAGCTAGTCTAGCTAGTCATCGGTTGGACGCTTTTCACTGTGTTGGTTGGATGTCCGTATTTGCATTGTGGTGAAGGGGAATGTGGTCCCCACAGTAAAATGGAACCGTTCAACTGCAAGAGCAACTGCAGTTTTTGCTGGGGGAAAGGAGGGAGGGGGGGGGGGGGGGGGGAGGGGGGGAGGGGGGCACGGGAGGGTGGGAGGAGGTGAAAAGGTGCCGTTCACCTTAGTAGCGGTTGTTGGCCTGTTGGCCCTTTTTACTAGTTTTTACTAGTCGGCGCTTTCAGTTTTGTTTTAAGTTTGGCTTGTGCTAGTGGTTTTGTTTCTTTGTAGGTTCCAGTGGGAAGCTTGGGAGGTCTTCTTCCCTCCTCCTCTCTTCTCACTTCTCTTTTCTCTTCTCTTCTCTCTTCTCTCTTCTCTCCTCTCTTCTCTCTTCTATCTTCCCTCCTACTCTCTTCTCTCTTCTCTCTTCTCTCTTCTCTCTTCTCTCTTCTCTCTTCTCTCTTCTCTCTTTCAGCCCTGGGTTGAATCCCGACCATGTCTCTGATACACAGCTGAACGGAAGTCGCTATTGTTCTCGTGTTTGTGTGTGACCAGGTCACACTGCTTGGGAGGATAGTGAGCAAAGATGTCAGAAACACAGAGACCTCTTATATTCTTGATGACGGCACGGGGCAGATTACAATCAAACAATGGTAAACCAAATAGCCTGTCTTTCCTCCCCCCTTTTTCCTTTCCTTCCCTTCTTTTCCTCTTTCCTTTCCTACCTTCTCAGTTCCCCCTACCTTCTCAGCACCCCTCCAGTTCCCCCCCCCCCCCCCCCCCCCCGGCCCTTCCCTAAACACTTGTTGGACACCTGGTTGGTTGGTTGGGTGGTAGCTAGCTGGGGTGAAGGAGAACAAATGCTAGCTTTTTCCTTTCCGCTAAATGCATAGGTCAGTGAACAAGTTTTTTTTTTTTTTGTTGCTACACCAAACTGATGACCATATCAGTGAAGTGGCACTCCCTAAGGAACCTTCGCAGGTCACTTTCCTCGTTCAATTTTCTCTGATGAGGACAGAAAAAAAAAAGGAGTTTTTGAAATGGAATGTGTATGTGGAACTATTAACTGAATGGTCAGCAAAAGGCGAAAATTCCAAAAATCAGATGCTCATCCAGGTGAATGACCAATGAACGAAGCCCTCCCTCCTGTCCAGGTGAATGACAGGTCGACAAAGCCTTCACTCACTTGGCCAGGTGAATTACATGCAAACTGTGAGCATGGACACCAATGTGTGATGCCCAAAAAAAAGGAAACTGGCCGAGTGAACAAATGGCTCAACGAAGTCGAATGCCAGAAATGACTCAAAGAAGACAATCTTCTTCTTCTTCATCATCTTCTTCGTCTTCGCCGTCTTCTGCCTCCTCCTCCTCCTCTTCCTCGTCTTCGTCGTCTTCTGCCTCCTCCTCCTCCTTGTCTTCGTCTTTGTCTCCATCTCCGTCTTTCTTCCATTTTTTTCGGGGTGCCGATTGAAAAAAAAAGGCTCTGCATCACTGCCAAGGTGGTCGGTCTGTGCCCCTACAAGTCTTGCTTTTTTTTTTTTTTCAAAGGTCATTGCATTTGCAACATGTTTTTTTTTTCTTTCTTTGCTAGGTGAAGAATGCAACCGGTGCACTAAAATAATAGAAACTGATTCTCTGAAGGGTATAATACATGATATGGAAGGAAGGAGCTTTATCTTTCGCTCGTTGCTGTTTTTTTTTTTTTTTTTTTTTTTGAACTGTAAACGATGTAAATATATTTTTTTTTCTCACGTGGCCACATGTTTTCGTTTCTGTGTTTCCTTTTCAGGAAAGATGTGGATAATGATGACGAGATTGATCAACAAAGATTAGTAAGGTAACTAAACGAAGTCCTTAGCGGTGGATGCGGAAATATAAGGCAATCGATCTGCTATTCTTCCTAAATGGGCTGTTGGTGTTGTAGTAGAGGCTGTGTGCACACATAGTCTCAGAAACCTAGATAGACCCTTAAACCACCCCCAGTACCATGGCCCTGGAGAACCTGTTTTGAGCCTCTGTTAAAACTTAGGAGGCCGAGCGCCGCTGCAGATAAAAATGAATCGGCGGTTGGTGGCCTCCGAAAGGGGCCCCGCGGCCGATATCTGGCATGTACTGGTGGTTTAACGTCCAACCCGTAAACCCTAAACCCTAAACCGCAAACCGATAATCTAAACCCTGACCCCTAACCCTAATCCCAAACCCCAAACCCTAGACCTTAACCCTTAACTCTATAAACCCTAGACCCTAAACCCTCAAGCTATTTACCTTAGACTGAAGACCTTAGAAGAATTGAAACACTAGACCACACAGCTTATAGACCGTACACTCATGCGATATATACTTTTCATCTGAGTGGGGAACCGGGCCGCCCGGGTGACAGGCTGCGGCCCGGGGGAGGTCCCGGGCGGCCTGGCTGGGCAGGGCACCCGGCTGGGGGCCGGGCCCTCCCAGCGCAGTCACCTGGCGGGGGGTTTCGGACCCCCTTTTGGCTGCTGCTGGCCTCCTGCAGGCCTACCGGGTCCGACCGCCCCAAAAAACCTCAGTGTCGGGCCCGGTAGGCCTGCTTTGTTTTTTGACTTTATCGTCGGCTCTGTGGCCGTCGATCATCCATGGTTGACGGCCACAGAGCCGTGGGATCTTGGCGCCAAAATCCCTTCCCCCCCCTTCAAACCTTCGATTGGCTGGGGTGGTCTGCCACTCGCCCCCCAGCACGATCCCAGTTGCCGACCTCCTCCTGCTGAGCTGTCGCCCGTCGCCCGTCGCCGTCGCCATCGCCATCGCCATCGTCATCGCCATCAGGTGTGCAGCTGCTGCTGCTCCGACGAAGGCCCCGACTGTCCTGCCACTGCTGCTACGACGAAGGCCCCGACTGTCCTGCTGCTGCTGCTATGACGAAGGCCCCGACGACGAAGGCGCCATTCTTCTTCTTCTTCTTCTTCTTCTTCTTCTTCTTCTTCTTCTTCGTGCCCGTCGCCCGACGCCCGTCGCCCGTCGCCCGTCGCCCGTTGCCCATCGCCATCAGGTGTGCAACGAAGGCCCCGAATGTCCTGCCGCTGCTGCTACAACGAAGGCCCCGACTGTCCTGCTGCTGCTGCTACGACGAAGGCCCTTGTGCTACGGTGTGAAAGGGTGCGGGTTGAACACCATAGGCGGGCTATGGTGATTGATTCTCTTCTTGTGATTCTTCTTCCATATGTTGAAGAGAAAATGTCGAGTTCAACATATTATATTCACTTGAACGTTGAAATCAATCATTCAAACCACCACTACCTCCGATCCTGTTTTTGCTCACCCTGATTTTCACCACGCACTGAGTTTTGCCGAGCCTCGTCAGGAGGGCGGGTCCCATCGTATTTTCTTTTCTGGTGCTCATGGCAGCTACATCCAAAAAACAACCGAAACGAAAAAAAAAAAACAAAAAAAAAAACGGAACTTCCGTTGTAGCCATCAGACACATTCTACGAGGTGCTGGTGAGAGACTGTCCCGCGCCCAGGGCGTCTGTGCTTAACAGAAAACAAATGAAGAACAAAAAAAAAAAAAAACCCTTCCCGTATGCCGCGATCGCGGTCCGATACAGAACGCCACAGTGCTGATGTGAGTATGTCGTGAGTGAGGCAGTTACGTGCCCCTCGAGGAATCCGCCCTGCCTCACTGGCAGGGCACAAAAAAGCAACGAAAACAAGAGGAAAAAAAAATGGAAACATAAGAAATCACATCCCCCACGTACCAGCCTGATACATTTCATGATTGCTCGAGTATATTCGTCAGAAAACACACCCCGACATGGGAAATATGGAACAGTAGGCTCGGCAGCTCATAGCCATCTGAATAGATGGGCGGGATTCCGGTTCACCATAAGGATTGGGTATGATCGTCGGTAAGAGGATTGGATGCGTCTTGAAGTAGTATGTTGGGATTATGGTTACCTCAAGGATTGGGTATGAGTGTCAATAAGGCGAGTTTTGACTACTGTTCGAGTTTTAGATTGGAATGAGAGTATGGAACATACGCTGTCTGTTTGAGCAAGAACACTAACCGGGGAAGGGAACACCCTGGTTTTGAGCCAGCCGTCTGGATAATGCCGGTGACGAGACCTCGGAACCCCGAATGAAGGCGGAGAGAGAGAGAGAGAGAGAGAGAGAGAGAGAGAGAGAGAGAGAGAGAGAGAGAGAGAGCTCGATCTCTGAACCTGAGGTTGTACTTTTGGCAAAAGTAACGGGCCGGAATGCAATCTCCTGGGCAAGGACGGGTTACGTAAAAAATCGAGAATGACCCTAAGGATATTTTCAGACCGGATATGACATTGATTCTGACAGCCTCTGGGGGAACCAGTTATTTACAGGCGTGCGCAGCTTAGTACAGACTAGGCCCAAGGTACCGGGGTACGGAGTGCAGCAAGTGGAACCGAGCACTGTTTTGAGGAAACATGATGAACAGGTAGTGCCTATGAGTATTAATAGCATAGTTAGTAGGGAATAAGCATCTCGAATCAACCCCCTGATGAGGCCGCTTACTGGCAGCGGTCGAAAGGGGGTTTGCAAGACACTTTGCTCTTCAGTTCCACACTCTGTTTTGGCGGTGAAGAGGGGAGTGATGCCATAGATCGCTATGGCTACGGGAGCTTCATTGTTTTTATCTGGTTGTTGAGAACCGATTCGAGATTCTTTCTTGCATACTTGCGCCGTGGCTATCACGGTTATGCTTTTGTGTGGACTTTATTTGTCTGCAGTTTCTCACTCATTCCATTTTGCACTGGTATCACTTCCATCTCCGTGAGTGCCTTCCCCTCCGAAAACAAATGAAGAAGGGGAAAAAAAAAAACCTTCCCTTATGCTGCGATCGCGGCCTGATACAGAAGCTATAGTGCTGATGTGAGTACGTAACGAGTGAGGCAGCTACCTGCCTCCCGTGGAAACCACCCTGCCTCGCTGGCAGGGCACCAAAATGAAAAGAGAACAAGGAAAACAAAAAAAATGCAAACGTAAGAAGTCACGTTCCTTACTTACATACTGGCCAGATACACTACACTCCTCAAAGCACTGGTGTGACTTCCACCTCCGTGAGGGCCTTCACGATGTCCACGTTTATATATATATATATATATATATGTTTTTTGTCCCCTCGCTGAGGGCCCGCTGGGTCCCAATCTGTTCTTTTTGTTTTGTTTTGTTTCCTACCGAACCTGCACCGGACCCCCAAACTTTGCGGCTGAGGACATTTTCGCAAATTCCACTACAGCTTGGAAAGGTAGTGGTGGTTTAACATGAAGAATTTTTATAAGAGTAAGGACAATTATGGTTCGTCAACTTCGTCTGTCTGTCCTTATAAGATGGGAAGAAATTTACTATATTTTAGGAAGAATTACGGTAGAAAACCATTTGCTTGTTTACCAACTTTACCCTTTCGACTTAAGGCCTCCTTTAAGGTGTGAAAGCACACGATGGATATGTCAAATGTGATGGGTGGTCTATTGGCAATCGAAATTTAATCGCAGTTGGTGAAGCAGTGGGCATAATTGCTGCGCAATCCATTGGAGAAGCTGGAACTCAAAAAAAAACTCCTTCCGAACTTTTCACTTGAGATGTTTTTACTGGAGGTGTTTTTACTGCGCATTCCATTGGAGAACCTCAAACTTTGAAAGTATTTCAATATTGAATAATTCCATTTGAAAGTATTTCAATTGAATAATTCAATTGGTGATATAGCTCAACAAATCAGATCGCCATAAAAAAGAAAGTGGAATTATTCAATTATTCCAAAATTCGATCTATACGTAATCGCTATGGTCAGCCTGCTTTTGTTTGTTTAGATAATATAATAAAATAGAAATTTCAAGTTTAAGACTTTAAGTTACTTACATAGCGATTTCGTATTAGATCGAATTTTGGAATTATTCAACCTAATATAGAAATTCTTATGTATGTGTGAGAGCTATTAATGCATTAATTTTATTGGCCATTATGTTAATAAGGTGACCTAAATCATCTACATTTAGCTTATATTTGACTAAACAAAGTGAAGTTTCTGCTTTTGCCATAATAATGTATAAAGCTTATTTGTATTGCTTGTCAAAATTATTGTACAAACACCTGAGTTGAAACAGTTTTCACCTTTGGCAGTAGCCGATGCAGATCCCAGGGGTCGATCCCTTGACCTCAGCTTACCTGTGTACAGTATCTGCACAGTTCCCTGGAGTTGAACCCGTGACCTGCACGATAGCCA